ATCCTCACGCACTGTAGCGATGAAATGGTGAAAAGGTAGCCCATCCATAGTGAGAAGTACTGAAATTGCTCATTCTCACTTAGGGAGCAAGACAGATTTTGAAGATTTATGCTCCGTTTGCTACAGCCGGTGTTCTTAGTTATTGAGCAGTTGGACATACGGACTCGCAGCCCGTACATAACATTGAGTGCTTGTGGTAGAAATAAAGAATATTTTGCTGTTGCTGTCGAGTCTTGAAACTGACTTCTAGCTAATGACCCAAGTAATCTTTACTTGAAATTGTGTAATTGAGATCGAAGGCTGTGCGGGGCTTCTAGCTGGTACACAGATTCCACATCCGTGAGCTTCTCAATATGGTCATTGAGCTGAAATGGAGAAGGTTAAAACTCTCATTTCCATTATCAAGCTGCCCCTTTCTCCCAATACAAACGTGACATTTCAATTTTACACAGTTGGACTCTTCTTAAATCATCTGTATAAAAACTTCAAATCTTGATTGATGATGGATGAGCTATTGTCTCCTAAAGCACACAGTTCTCATTACCCTTAAGACATAGCTTATTAATGACGGACCTATAGTGCTTTCCCAGTGGTTCGTGAGCAATTTACTTTGCTAAGAGATCCAAAGACTTGGTTTGGCATGAAATCTCCAGGCCAAAGCCATTTTCACAAGCAGCATCTCAAATGTTGACAGTGTTTTGAGGGTGATACGGTACCTGACAACAAATCCCTATCATCTGGGTGATAATGGCAAAGCTGCAGCACTGTCAGCATGCAGAGATGCTTTGGCTGTAATGGAGGCTGACCTTGGAAAGTAAGTGTCATTAATAAGCACTGCATGATATGTACGTGCAGAGAACACCCAGTATGTGGTGTTGTGTAAGAGGCAGCTGCTTCGTTAGGGGGCAGTCACCGTGTAAGGTGTCTTCTGTTTTGCTTCTGAGGTTGTTACAGTGGGTGTTCCTAACAGTTACCTGAACTAAATCCTTTCTGTTTCTCTGTCCACCATAAAGCTAGTTCTTTTCCATCTCTTCATGCCTCCCTCCAGTTCAGTCTGGCAGCTGGCTTCTCGGGACCAGAAAGAAGCTTTTAATTTGTAACCCTCAAGAAAAGTAGCAGTTTTATAACCGATTTTATAACTATTTTAGAACTGGATTGAACTGCAAAGTAATTGCCAGCAGCTCCCACTGCATATCAACACACGAGTTATTTGCACTTAAGGGTACAGAGCAGGATGTGAGCATGTTTTGGCGATTGAATCCGCTTTAGGAGTTAGATAACAAACCGTGGGGGATTTTACTGTACGTAAGAAAAAAGCAGCTGAAGAAAATGCCCTTTTGGCAGGTGGATGAAAAGAAGTTCTTTCATCTCCAGTGTAACCAGTTGATGATATATGTGCAGAGCTACTGTCCATTTGTGTCTGAAGCTTCTGGCAGCTGGTAACGTATTTTCACTGACCCCACTCAAACTTAGTGCAAGTGCTTTCAATTTAGCCCTTTTTGAACATAGCAGAGCAAGTATAAATTGCACGTGCTGCATCTCTCCATGCCTCTGTGGAAGTAGAAGAGGTTGGTGTTTCATGGCTGCCTGAGTCCTGTATGTGTCACTGCTCTGCTGTTGGCATTGTAAGGTAGGTTACCAGAGTACGTGGTAATCGTTCTGCTTCATCTCCTGGCTAATGGAAGCCAGAAAATAGCAGATAAAATGGATAATACATTTCTGATTCCAGTCCCTGGATAAATAAGCATTTAATAGAATTTTAATAATATGCAGATGTAAGTTCCCCACAATCATTTGGCAGCTCTCCACACAATAAGCAAAATAATGACAGAAGTCAGTGCTGAGCGCGCTCGCTGCTTTATTTTCATAGAACTTGGGTGACAACATCATACTGCTTTTAAGCCAGAAGAGTAGCTCCAATAAGGAGGATAAGATTTTATTCACTTGGGATCAACTGGCAAAAGGCCTTGGAGCTGCTCCTTTGCTCAGAGCACCAGCTGCAGCCCTGGTGCCAAAACGGAGGATGGTGAGACTGACGCGTGGCTCTTGGCAGCTTGCAGGAAGCCTTGCACCATCACCTGCCCCTCGTTTCCTGGAGAGAGCTGGCAGGGCACATGCTTCCAAATCCCCTTTTGGAGCTCTGTGCCTTGGAGCAGTATGGGAGCCCACAGGAGACATTTGCAGGCCATGCAGCTCCATTCCGCGCTGCAGGGCTGGGTTTGGATTAATCATTTTCTGGCCTCACACAAAAATTGTGTTACCAGGCAGAAATACTCTCCTCTATAGGATATTTAAAGTACATGCTGCTGTAAGCAGTGCTTGTTCATGCATCTTCAGCAGCCCTTGGCTTTGTTCTTTGCAGGAGAAATAAAGCCCACTGGTGGATGTGTTGTTCTGGCCGCTGTCTGTCCTTGGCAGGGCCCAGCAGGAAGGCTCCTCATGTTGCACAAAGGAGGAGAAAGCCCTCTTGTGCCTGCCTTCCTTTGCCTGCTCATCTGCGTAGCTGGAGATCCCCGCCTTGCTCCTCCTGTTTATTGTTTAACTTTATCACCCACTTTCGGCGCTGTAAATTAAAAGGAGATGATGACTTTATGATGATGAGTTCATTATACAGTAACTCTTTTGTTTATTGATTGCGTTTGTGCTTCGTTTGCTTAACACGTACCAGGGTTTATTAGGTCTTTCCAGGCATTGTTCTTGCTAAGAGAGGGCGCAGAAGCACAGAATGAATCTGCGTTTGTTAATTCAGTGTAGCCAATACATCTGTGCTGATTTACACGTGCCAAGGACTGCATAAAGAACCATGCAATAGAAAGTGGGGAAGGGAGGTAGGAGGGGACAGAGTTTAGATCTGACAGAATGGGAGGAGCTGAGCAAAATAAAGTGAAGCGTGGTCCTGAACTTGGAGTTTATGGCTGTTTAACAGCTGCAAGAGCCCAACTTTGATACTGTTACTCAGGTTTCTTAGTGCCTGGTTGCACAAACAGACCTGTAGACTTGAATCCTGTCACCTATGAGAAACGTTGTGGTTTGGGGCATTTCTCCAGGTTTTGGGGGGCAGGCAGCAGGTATGACAGCCGTTATTCAGTGGTGAGGAAGTCGGTCCACCTTCCATGTTTGCTGTATCTCTCCACAAATTGAAACTATTAGAAATATTTTTAGAGTGAGGTGGTGCCTGATAGACAAGAATGCGTCAAAGTTTCTTGGATCAAGTAGAAAATTTGTTAGGTGTTGTCATGAGCAGATGCTCTAAAAAGCAGAAGTGATGCCAGCAGCAGGTGTTCAGGGGCACCAGCTGATAGTGGCACTATTTGGAGTCATGTGCAAGTGTTTTGGAAGCTATCAGGGTAGATTTCTTCATTTTCCATGGCTTGTTAGATGTTATTTTTAATCAAAATCTGGGCCATTGTGGATTAGATAATCCTGTGTAGCTAGGATGACACGGAGAAATCATCAGTAATCATGTTTTCAAGTGTGCTTCTGAGTCCCACTTTTTCCCCCGAGCAGAATTGCTAGCAGATGCTGAATGGCTGTGGGTTTTTTTGGGGGATCATAAGAATATCATACAGACAGATCATCTCTATAACTAATCTGGGCTCTTTTCTGTATAAGATAATTATTATTGTTTTTGTTTTTAAGCTCCTTTTCAATGAAAAGCCAAGCTTTCAAATCAGAGCTTTCTGAGAAATAGGTATCAATGCTCTGAACCCATTAATATGGCAGAAGGATGTATTTACAGACGATCCTTTATTTAATACACTCTTCTATTGGGGGCTGCCTCCCCTGCGTTGTGTCCTGTGTGCTCTGAAACGTTCAAAGAAGAACGCAGTAACTCCTGGTTGTTTGTCAACGTTAGTATTCCCACTGAGGCTTGTAAGGGCTTTTATGGGAGATGAGGGCTATCAGCACACCTAGTCATTGCCACAGTGCTTGAGATTTCCTCTTAATGTCATTTTAAGAGGTGTGTCGCTCATGGCTGCATAGCACCACTTCATGTCATCAGGAGGTGCCATTAGTGACCAAACCTTCAGCTTTTCTTTGCTGGTTGCAGTCTGACACTAAGTGGTGCAGGAGGCTTCGGCTGCGTTGCTTCTGCAAGCTGGAGTGAAAGATGCAAGGATTTTCCTTTGCTTTGGAAATGCAGGAGCCAGGCTGAGAAGAGAAATAGCTAGAAAGAGAGTTTAGAAGGTTAAAAAGAAAGTTACTGTCCCAAAGGAGACCCAGCGCTACTTCTAAACAGCCAGAAGTGCTGAAGTCCTAATTTACTTGTGACTGCTGCCCTGACTTGCTGTATCACTGTGATCTCCTTAGACAGAGAGCTCAGATTCATACAAGAACGTGGAACTCGTATGGATTTTTTAAGTAGGTTTTATGACTGAATGTTTGATGAGAATGGATTCCTAGTGATTTCAAAGGTTGCTGGTGATTCACTGGTACCCAGAATTGTGTGAGGCAGTGCAGAAGAGCTGTGCAGCTGGGCTGTAGAGCTGTATGGCAGGACAGTGTGCTCAAACACGGTGCTTCTCTAGACATCCTGACAACTCAACCCTCCTTGCTTACACTAGGATGAGAGTATTCTTACCTTTGGGGGGGCACATCAGCTTATTCTATGCTTTAAGTGTCCATATGTGTTAAAGAAATGCGGCGTAGTGTGACTGCTTGTGTGTTTTGAAGTCAGTTAAGTCTTGGGATTTATTTTACCCACGGATAACAGTACTCTTAAACACCTGAATACACTGGAACAGCACAGAAAACCCAGTCAGCAAGCTATCAGCTGCGTGCCTGTCTTTATCAGGCTACTTCTGACTGTAAATAAATGGTTCCTGTTTGCAAATGCTGTATGCTATTTACCATCCTGTTTTCAGTGTTAGATGAGGTAACAGTGTGAATTTTCGTGTTTGAATTCTGTGCCCTCTCTCTCCCCTGCACAAAGCAGCAGTGAACTTAATTAGCTGTGTGCCTGAAGCCTTACAACTATGTTCTCTTTTTCTTTTGTGCAGAAATACTGAATGGAGGGGTGTATGTTGGCCAGAACAAATTTCTTTGCTTCGCAGACACCATTCATTGGCAGGATATCGTGCGTAACCCCTGGGCCTCCAACTTCACTTTGGTTCCAACGAATGGCAGCTCAGGATGTAAGTACCAGTTTGATTCTTGGTCTTGTCATCAGCACAGCCTGACACAGTATAAATACAACTACAAGTTTGTCCCTGGTCCTCTGTTATGGAGAACTACGTTTGTAATTTTTCCCTTTCCACTGCATTCTTCAAAGTTTGTATGATACTTGTGAGAACACAGCCTAATCTTGAAAACACTGTATCTGTAGAGAGCATTTGTGAACATCATGCATTTTTTGACTTTTTTTCTTATGTGCTTTCTCTCTTGTGCATGTTCTTTTATTTCTGTTTATTTCTAATGCCACTATGCTGCCATGGAAGTACAGACATTATTGTTTGTTTTGGAATTATTCCTGCTGCTTAGTCTGGTCCTCGAGTCACAATGTTCCGCCTATGGCATCACAATTAGCTGCTGGAGTAATTATGGTACAGGCTCACAGATACTCTCACTTGAAATAAGAAAGGAAGCTGAAAGAAATAGCTCTCCTGTTATCTTGTGTGTACCTGTGAATAAACAGAATTTGCAAAGAGTGGGGTGGTCGTCACAACATCACCAGTATCTCTGGGTTTAGTATGCTCTTTGTTCTAATGCTCTCATTTTCAAGCTTGTCTATATATTTTCATTAATCTGCTTGACCTGTTTTTCCAGTTCTCTTCCCCAGAGTTATTCACCTTTAGATGGTTCTTGAAGCAGTAATGAGTTGTAGTGGATTCATCAGCGATGCAGTGATACTAAGTGTTCAAGTGAAATACTTCCTACTATAGGAAAGTGTTCTCCAGATGCATACCATGCTCATAGGCAGTACTCTTAGATGTACTGAGACTGAAATTCAGGTATAGGCTGGGAGGAATCGATCTGAATTCAGGACTGATTCCAGAAGGGACGTTGTTCTGGGCATTCTGGATACAGGGCCGTTCTGGATCACTTGCTACATCCTAGGGGGTCCAGCATGAGTGTATAAATCACAGATTGCTTCCTTAGCTTCTGCAGCAGCCAAGAAATACCTTAAATTCTTCAGCTGCACGTGAAGAATTCTGAAAACAAACCAACAATCTCTGGTTGAAGACTATTTGACCGAGTTCCCTAATTTTAAGCACCAACTTGTTTCTAACAGTTTGTGTTGCAGTTGTTTTCTGTAAAGGCGGCTTGCTTTTATGTGTCTCACCTGTACGCTCAAAGAAAGAGCACAGCTACTTGAGACTCAGCTTCCTGTGGGAGCCTGCCAAACTCCTCTGGTCCTCATCTGCCAGCTCCAGAGCTGAGGCTCAGCTCCTCTGCCTTCTGGCTGCAAACCTGACATAGTTGCAACACAGCCAGCTCCCTTATTTGCGTATTAAAAAGCTCATCACTGACAGTGATCAGTTCTGAGCAGAAGTGATAAGACCTTAGAAGGTTAGGGAATGCCTGTACCCTTCTATGAATCATTACTTCAGCACAAAAGAGACTTGGTTGTTTTTCTGTTGTGTTCTGTTGTTGGGCTTTCTTATAACCTTTGCCAGCTCTTCCAGAAAATGCTTTTGCAACAGTAAGGCAATAAGCTCTTTTAAAAAAGCAACCAACATCAGTACTATCCCTCTGAGAAAGGGAGTATGTTACCCTGGTAGTTTACTAAAGAATTAAGGCAAGTTATTTGTGCTGGTTGAGAAAACACAATGAACACTGAATTATAACCCTAGAATGGAAATCTCTGTGGAGCATCATTATGTGAGGGTACGTGCTTCTCCTATTTGGCTCATATGTCACTTTTCAGACTCTGCAAAGCAGTGTGGGTGCTTGCTGGGCTCAGCCTGACTGTTTTTCCACTGCTGCAAATGGTACTCAGAGCATCACAAAGTCTTTGGTACTCTTCTACAGAGACTATGAGTCATGTGCTTTGGATCCAGAATATATTTTTACTATTTATTTTACATGAATGTATTACATTGCCTGAAGTCTCAGGTGCCTCTATCAAATGCAAATCTTGACTACGTCCACTGGAACTTAGTGAGTACACGTTGCTCAGCGTTACTGAGAATACACTAAGTGCCAAAGATATCAGGAAGGCCCTCTGGGACTCTCTGTCAGAATATCTTGAAAAAAATGAATGTTTTTTACTGCTTATCTGAATACTTCCACAGGAGAGGGAAAAGGTCTGTCAGAGCAGCTGTGTCAGTGTGTGAATGTAAATCTGCCAAATGTGCTGTGTCGAGCTCCACTGAGTCAGTACTAGCAGGAATTTAGGGAAGTCTGTGTAAAGGTGTTGTGTAAGATGGGGTAGGTGGATTGAGCTGTGTGACATGTGTGGCTCTGACTTGCAGGGGCAGAAGGAGAGCATCTGCCCCAGGAATGGTTAGGGCTCTTGCACTGTGACCGCCTCAGCATCCTCCGTGGCAGAGAAGGTTGTAGGACCAAGAAAATGCTGAATAACATGAGCTTCAGAACCAGATACTTATTGCTTTGAGCAGGCCCAAAACCCTCAGCCCTGGGTTTCAGCATCACTAGCTTTGCTTCCAACCACTGGTAGCTGACATGAAATCTTCCTTGAGGCCCTACAGAACACAGGCCCCCCTGTGTTCAGAAATGCCCGTTGTGCAGCACTTAACACGTTACCAGCTGTACTGCAGCAGGTATGGGCTCCTCCATCCTTACCCTTGGTGCACAGGCCCGTGTTGCAAAGCGCTGGTACTGCTCTCCTCCCCAGTCACACACAGCAGCTTAGAGTGGTCCCACTTCACAGAGGAGGGCACATGCAGGTCTCCGTGCTGCTCCACAGCAATCAGCAGATGAAGGAGACAAAAGGGTAGAATGAAATGAAAACGCTTTGAAATAGAAATAGAGCTGGATCTGCCAGCTCTGTGCATATCTCCTCATTTACATCAGTGCTAGATGGAAGAGGCCGGTGCGCTCCTGGGATGCTGCACTCCCTGGATGCTGCTCTTGTGATTCCCTTTGTCTCAGGCTTTCACTGCCATATCAGCATTAAGAAAGCAGTTGAAAAGGCCGTAGTATCTTAACTACTGTAATAGAAGTGCTGCAGATGTGTGAATCCTGAATGCTGCTTCTCCTTTTTCTTTAGCCTGAAATGTATTCTACCCGTTGCTTCATGCTCTGATCAAATGCATGCAGAAAAGCTCTTGTTGGAAGCCTTTGGATTACACACCCATACCACTATGATGAGCACAGTTAGTGGCTGTGGGTGTAGGGCTCTGTGTGTACTGCTGCCATGCAATCAGCACATGCACCAGGGAGCCTGCATGCTTCAGCTGTGTGAAGGCAGATACCTCTACACCTGGTATTCTGATTCATATGGTGAAATAATACGCTATTTACTATTTGCACAGCATTTTCTTACTCGTCTCTTGTAGATGAAACTTCTACAATGATTTGTAATTGAAAATAGTCTTCTCTTCCACGTACCTGTAATCTCACAAGTGCTTAACTGGGGAACAAAGTTGTCCATCTAGGTGTATATTACTCAGTTTGTTTCTCCCGTGCTAAAAATCTATCTTTTCTCCTTCTAAAAACAAGCCACAAATACAAGCATTAGCTTAGCTATGCAAGAACTTGTTCCCTTGTTGCCACATCCATGTTGGATTTGGTCTCCATTACATAGGTAGAGGCCTGCCCTTCAGAGCTGGAAACCCAAGGTACAGCTCCCAGTAAGAAATAAAACAGGGAATAGGATCAGACTTGTCTAAAATGACTCTACATTGGTAGGACTCCTCCTCTCTGGTCAGCTGGAGGTGAAGTGCAGCGTGTCTGGGAGGCTGGCTGCTTCCATCTGTGCCCTCCGTGTCCTCAGCCGCCCCTTGATGTGATGGGAGCCCCCATGTGCCTGCTGCAGGTTCTTACAAAGCACTCTTAAATCAGATTTTTCAGTGCAGCTTTGCTTTGAAAGTTTTGTTTGGCAGGAAAGCCTTAAGGGTTTGAATGGCTGAGCTGAGGTCACTGTGTGCAGCAAATAGCGTAGATTCAAATAATCAACAGTGCATTTAAAAGTGCTGAAATCTATGGATGCATATTCATGATGGAACTGGGAACTTTGGGTAATAAAGGTTCAAAGATTACTTGCTGTTTTCAGGGGTGAAAAGAAAAAAAAAAGCTGCTTTTTAACAAATGATTCAGAAGAAATACTAGACAGAAGTTAACTAGTGCCCAGCTCCAGCTGAATTCACAGCATTGAGCACCTGTTGAAGTCTTGTCCTGAGCTGGAGTTTGTGTTCAGACCCTGTAGTGCGCTGAGATCCACAGTACATTTTTCAAGCTCTGGTTGCTTATTGTTCCTAACGTGGTACTTCTCTGTTTAATTGCAGCTGGTAATGTAAAGCTGCAGTTTCTGAGCTAGGCAGTAGTTCTGCATTCTTGCCATGATGCATGGGAAGAAAAGGCTTAGTCTTCATCTGCTTACCCATGCCTCAATGAATCCCGCAATGTGTTTGAGGAGAACACTTCTTTCAAGTTTCTTCCCTCTCTTTTACGTATCGATTCATAGGTTTCTTAAGGGCAAAAGAAACCTTTAAACACCGCTAGCTCTGATGTCCTTCACTCCAGTGCCCCAAAGTACCTCCCACTTGCCTGGCACTGAATCAGTACCTTTCTGAAGCACGGCTTGCCACCCCTCCTGGCCCATTGTGGAGGTGTTGGCCATCCCTCAAGGAGCTTGTTACCTCTCTGCTGCTAGAAGAAATAATGCTAGGTGCCTTTATTTCTGATTTGAACACAGGTGCTGTCGCCTGTTACATATTCTTCAGCTAGCTGCAAGAGCTTTCGAGTACCCTGCATTTTCTCCCCGCAGCAGTGGGATGCACAGTGTAATCAGCTCACCTCTTGATGCGATTTTCATAAGCTAAATAGACAGAGGGTCTCGTGGCTCGCACTGTGAGGCTTTGCTTTGCAGCTCTTGAATAATTTCAATTGCTCTTCGATGTAAAATATTTCTCCGTGTTCTTTCAGAATGGGAAAAGCAAAGTGTTTTAGCCGTAACTCTATAAAAGTGAAAATTGTATCCTTTGTGTTGAAGCTTCACGTGAGGAACCTG